TTTTGTGCCTTTCTGCAACGCTGTAAAGCAGTAAGAATGCATTCATGTATTCCTTGGCCAACAGACCCACAGACCAGATAAAAACAAGATAACAGGCAGAACATTCTGCCCAGGGACACGCAACATGGTAGATAGAGGAAGATCTGGTTCAGAACGCAGACCTCCTGATTCCTACACTGGACTCATGCCTCTACCATCTCCAAGCTTCCACAGCTGTTTCCTCTACTCCACAGCTCTCGTGATCATCACAACAGCCATCATTTATCTCATCAGCGGGCCACAACCCTAAGAGGTACAGACGACCCTCAGGCATATTTTGTAGACGAGAAGACAGACTCCAGGAGGGGATGTCCCTGTGTTTAAAACCTTTGATCTAATCCGGAGAGAGACAGAGAGTCCATTGGACCCCTGCTTCCTGGCCCCTCACACCCAGAATGCAGGTTGGCCTGAGAGAACTAACCTGGTATTCCTCCTCAGTAAGGCCCTCGGCCAGGGCATGCTGACGCAGCTGGTCGGGATCCTGGGCACGGAAGAGACGGCTGAGCAGGGCATAGATGTAGGGGGCCTCAGGGGAGGTCTGCAGCAGCACTGCCAGGCCTCCATACCAGGCGGCCCGTGACAGGTAGTGGGCATAGAGGCGCTCTGTGGACGACAGCAGGCGGAAGGCCTCGCGGCAGTCCAGGCTTGACACGCCGATGTCATTGGGGAGAATGTACTGGGTGTCCGCCATGGGCCCTGCTGAGAACCATCACCATGATCACAGGCATCATTTATCCCACACCAACGGCATGTACATCTGAGTCTGCACGCTCACGGTCTGAATGAGGAAGGGAATACCATTGCACCCATGCACCAGATATGGAAAGTGAAACTCAGAGATGGTTAGGTGACTCACCCCAGAAGATTACACAATATTCTGGCAGGCAATATTCGGTCTGTGGCCTCCCAAACTTAAAGACTGAATCCAACTACCCAGTATTACAGACTGGAGAAGGCAATGGCACCCCACTCCAGTACTCTTGCCTGGAAAATCCCATGAACGGAGGAGCCTGGTGGGCTGCAATCCACGGGGTCCCTACGAGTCGTACACAACTGAGCAACTTCACTTTCACGCATTGGAGAAGGACACGGCAACCCACTCCAGTATTCTTGCCTGGAGAATCCCAGGGACGGGGGAGCCTGGTGGGACACGACTGAAGAGTCGTGACACGACTGAAGCGACTTAGCAGCAGCAGCAGTATTACAGATGGGGAAACCAGGGCCAGGGAGGCAGGGTGCTTTGACTAATAACACAAGGGAAGGGTCAAAAGCGAGGTTCTGCATCTCTGGGCTCCCAGGCCCCTCTCTGTGGTCACCCCTCTTCCCTCTCTGATCTCCTGGCCTCCCCTTCAGAATTATCCTGCATATTCTTCAATTCTGCCCACCACTGTGTTCACAAGGACTGAGTCCCAGCTAGAAGACCCAGGTTCCAAGACTGGCTCAGCCCCAGACAGCAAATGTCAAGTCAGTTTTACTTTTCTACCTCTAGAAGACAGCCTCTGATAATAACTCCAACCTCACTGGGTGGCTATGCAAATTAGATGAGGTCACAAGGTCACCCTGATCGACAGAAGGTACCTACAGCAGAATTTCCTTGTACTCTTCAGTTCCCACTGCTGGCAGGATCTGTCCCACTCTCATCCCCCTGCCCTCTCCCTGTGCTCAGCCAAGGGACCTTCCCTAAATGAAGAAGCTCAGAGCAGAGACAAAACTCATTTTACAGATGGGGAGACTGAGGCTTAGAGACGCCAAGCAGCTTATCGAGTCTTGCTGCCTGGTTAGGACCTGGGTGTCTCCCAACCCAGAGTATTCACAACGCCCTCTCTAACTCTAAAAGAGTTTCCCACCTCCCCCGCCACTCCCGGAGCTGCTCCCAAATAGCACAAGCCCCTTCGTTCCGAAAGGGACGTTAACCCTTTGCTGTCCGGAGCGATCCTTGGCCTCGGGGCCGCGATGAATTTGGAAGGGGGGACAGGAAAGGAATGATCTTGAGCTCGGCCTAGACGCGCCCTGCCCCCCGAAGATGACACACGGTGACCCCCAAACCCGGTCGCCGCGCCTCACCTGCAGCAGCTGCTCCGACCGCACACTCACTTCCTGCTTCCGGCTCCTCCATTCATTGGGGCTCCGCCAACTCCGCCTCCACCAGCCAATTGCCGAGCCTCGGGGCCCGGACGGGCATCGCCTATAGCCAATAGGGACTCTGAGCCGGGCTCCGCCGGCACGCTGGCTCCCCGCCCCCAGGCGCTACGGGGGTGACTAGCGGAATGGCCCCTGCGGCCTTGGCCTTTTGTCCGCAGGCGGTACACGCGCGGGGATTAGAAACTTCCGTGTTCAGCCTGGCCCAGGCCTAGTCCGAACAGACGGCGCAGACAAGGTACCCCGAATCCAGGCGGGGCAGCGTGGCTGTTACGAACGGAGCACCGGCGATAAACCCCCGCACAGTCCTGACTCCCGCTCTCCTTTGGAGTTTTTATGAGTCCCCCGACTTCAGTTTTGGGTACAGGAGCCCGCATCGTTCCTCCGTGGTCTCTAGGACCACGGGTAGTGACGAGACTGCAAAGCCCTCCGTTTAGGAAGTCGAGCCTACAGCCTAGCGGGCTCCAGCCGGGGCTGAGATGGTCCCACCGTGCGGGTCGGGGTGGGGGAGGCGTAGGCGTGGAGAAACGCCCCCAGTGCTGCCCTGTACCCTTTCCAGTTCGCCACGGGCCTGGCCGGGGCAGCAGTTAAATATCTTCGCGTCTGTTTCTTCTGAACAAGGGGCGAGGGGCCTGGTAGTTTCAGGATGCTTGCCAGGTACCGGATGGATGAGAAGGCTGGCCGCGACTCCAAAAGGCTGCCCAGGGCAGAGCCGAACCTGCATGTCTGTTGAAACTTACAGGAGGATGGGCTGGGTGGGGTAATGGCATGTGGAAGTGCCTAGTGCCCGGCCTGGGCCAAGTGGGGAACATTTTGAGGGTCCCAAATCAGAAATGGAGCAGAGCCAGGCCATCTAAGGATGAGGCGGGCCTGCGCTGCCTGGTAGCTGTGTGTCCTTGGATGAGTCTCTTTATCTCTCTGAGTCTTGACTTCCTCAGTCAGAAAACCGGGCTAAAGATCCTGGTCTTTACTGAAGGGATGTTGTAAGCTTGAGGGAAGTGTTGACAGTGTTGATGCCCCCTGGTGCTATGCAGAGAAGTGTGGAGGAGAGGGTCTACCCTGAAATCCACACACCCTCCTTGCCAGTTTTTGCCACACCTGTGTCTAGGCCCAGAGCAGCTGCTGTCCCCCACCGGCTCCAGTTTCTCATTCACAAAAGGTGCCCAACGCCGTTTGGCACAACAGTGCTAACTGTTGGCACTGATGATGATTATCATGACAGGGAGGAACTCAATAAATTGGTCTATGTCCCTAGAAAATCGCCCCTCTTCTTCCCTGTGCCTCAATGCTTATTATCTTTAAAACGGGTGTAAAGTCCTCCCTGACTCGGGAGAGGCTGACATGCAAACGGATAAACGATGAAGTGCCGTCCATCGCCACCAGTGGGCAGCTCAGGCCAAGGAAAGATCCCAGTACTCCTGGGAAACCCCCAGCCAAGCTGCATTTTCATCAAGACAGCTAATAAGAGCACTTCCAAAGCTCTATGCTAGTATCTTGACATGGAGGATCTCATTTAATTCCTGCAAAAAAACCTGAGATAGGATGTAATTTTATCTAGGGTATATATCGGGAAACAGAGGCTGATGGAGTCACTGACTTCCCTAAGGCCACCCAGGAAGTCCCCTGGTGTCCCTGAACCAGAGTCTAGCCTTCCACCACATTGTCCCCTCCACCTGCTCCAACACATGTGTGTGCACACATGCGCACACACACACAGAATCACATGCAACAGTCCACTCACTGAAGTCATAGCCACCCCTAGCCTCGGCTCTTTCCCATGGGAATAAAGAAGAGGTAGGTGAGGAAGTAGTATTAAGTACATCCTATGTTACAGGTGCCCTTCATACATTCACAACTGCCTGGCAATGGAGGTACAGTTATTCCATTTAACAGTTAAAGAGACTGAGGCTCCAAGAGTTGGAAAGGGGCAGAGCTGTCTGACCCCCTCCACCAACACTGAGTTCTCCCTCTTATGGCACCTGTGCCTTTTACTTGTCTCTGCTAGAGTCTGAGATTCCCTGATACAAAGGGCATGCAGGTGTTCCCCTGTCTGGTTCCCAACAGAGTGAGAACAGAGAGCTGGGAAGAGCTGGATTCCTACTGCTGTGTGTGTGTGTGTGTGTGTGTGTGTGTGTGTAGGAGTTGCAATGCTCATATGTCCACCCCAGCATCCTTATTGGGGCTCCCCCGCTGTGGTGGTGTGAAGCAAGAATCTGATTGCACTCTCCTCTCACCACCAGCAAGCGCCCTCTGTCCTCTCAACAGCCCCAGGTCTGGTATCTGTGGCTCCAGCCAGCTGTGTGGAAGGGGGCAGGACCCTCCTTTTGGAATCCCTAAGGCTCTGCCTTCTATTAGGGATGATGTCCAGGTCGAGTTGGTACTCAGAGCCTTTTTTTCAGAGTTTTATATTCCCAGAACCTCCATCTACCTAATCTTTCCAGTTTGCTTGTCCCAGGAAAGGTCTGGGGCAACCCCAGTAGCACCCTGAGCTCGCCTGGACTCTCAGGAGGAGGTAACACTTAGCCCGGATGAATAGGGATCCAGTTCAGATTTGGTCTCCATGGCAACAAAGGCCCACCAGATGCCAGCCCAACATTCCCACCCCTCATTCGTTTCTGCTTCCTCCATACCCAGCTCACTGGTCATCAAACGTTTTCCCTGCCACGCCTTGGCCCACGCTGTTCCCCTTACCCGGGCTGCCCTCCCACCCCCTCCCACCCCATCCAAGGAGAGCTGCCCAGTGGCATGGAGAAGAGGGCAGGCTCTGAGGCCAGGCAGGCAGCTGTGGATTAGAATCTGACTTGACCACTTTCTAAACTGTGTGACTTGGATCGTGTTCTTTAATCTCCCTGTAAACAGAAATGGTAACACCTCCTTCCCTAGGTCACTGTGAGGATTAAATAAAACCTCTGAGAAGCAGAGCCTGGTGGCTGGGGAGTGCTCAGTGAACGTAGTTATTATCATCATTAGCACAGTGCAGGGCACGCGGTGGGCATTCAGTTGGTGGTAGCCCTTGTGTGACAGCCAACGCTCTGGACAGCGAGTCCTCTCCCTCTCCTCGACCCCTGACTGTCCAGAAATGAGGATCCAAACCTCCACCCAGCATCTTCCCTGTCAGCACGGCCCCAACCTCTTTTCCAGCCTCCTTTCTGCCCCCTGCAGCCCATGCTTCAGCCACTGTGAACCCCTCACCCAGTTCCCTGCATACTTACACCTGAGCCTGTCCTCAGCCCCCTTTCTGCCTAGAGCACCCCCTTTTCTGTAGGGATTCCCAGCAGGCCACTAAGGCAGAGCCCTTAAGCCTCTGCAGTGAAGCCCCTCTCACTTCTCACTTTTCTAGCCACCCGTGAGACCAGCCTCACAACTCCTGATGGCTCTCTGATCCTAGCACACAGGAAGCCATGCTATCATCCAGTAATTGGTCTGTCATTCAGTTACTGGGAACTCTATCAGGCAGGGAACCAGGTCTGTGTCCCCAGATAACACTTGGCAAGGAGGCCAGCCCCCAGTGGGTATCCGCAGATGTCGGTCCCAGCCTGCCGCCCACCTGACACTCACTCGGGGGCTGGAGGCACTGCACGCACGCGGGACACGCGGATTCTTGAGGGCAGCTGAGCAGCAGGTTTATAGAGGAACCCAGGGCAGCAGCGTCAGGGTGATTATCTGGATCTGGGTTGGCAGGCTCAGGGCACAGCCAGCCTAAGCTGGGGGTCAGGGACCCATGGCCCCTTCATTCCCCCAGGGGCACAGTGTAGGCGGCATGATGTGGGATGCCCCTAGAAGGGCTGGGGCAATAGGGCTGGGCCTCCCTCCATCAGCCCAGGACAGAGTTGGTGCTGAGAGCCCCATCATTCTGTCTGGGGTGAGGGTCCAGGGACCCCCGCTGGAGCCCAAGTTAGGAGGGAAAGGGCACCGCCCACCCAACGCGTCCATCTGGCCTGGCGATGAGCCAGCAGGTAAAGTCTCACATGCAGAGCTCCCTGGAGGTGGGGGACCCAGGCGGGCAGGCAGGCGTGGCAGCAAGGGGCCCCAGGGGGCCTAGTCCAGTGGCCCCTGGAAAATGAGGCGGACACAGCCATGCTCGCCGGTGAGCCAGGCCCCACAAAAGGGGCAGGCGGCGTGGAACGCGTGGGTGCCATGGGGCAGTGGCGTCTGAGCCCAGTAGCGGGCAGTCTTCTCAGAGCAGACGTGGCCGCAGGGTGCAAAGGCATGGCTGGGCGGCCCAGGGTCCAGGCAGAGGCCAGCTTCCTGGCCGAGCCACAGGGGCACGTAGGGCCCCACAAGGCGGCAGAGGGGACACTCGCGCTCCTGGGGGCCCCGCTCTCGCCGGCAGCCCCAGCCGTGGTAGCCGTGGACGTGGCCGCAGCGGACATACACCCAGGGCTGCTGCTTGTCGGGTGCCGTGCGGCCGCGGGCCGGGCTGGGGAAGGCCAGGGTGCTGAGGCCCACGGGACACTGGGGCCGGGCTGCATTCGCCTCCTGCCGCTGGGCCTCCAGCTGCTTCAGCGTGGGCGCCCGCAGCAGCCCCGCCGGCGTGCGCCACAGCAGCGTGGCCCCGCACAGGTCGATGAGGGAGCCGTCCTGCAACACGTTGGACTCGTTTTCCACCTGCAGGGGCAGCAGAGGGGCCTTCGTGCCCAAGGGGCTCCTGAACCCCCAGCCATCCGGCCGCCATCACCCCAGTCAAGCCACCCATCCATCCCCCTGAACCTCCCTGGAGGCACCCTGGATGCCCGTGGGGCTGGCTGGGGTAGAGGAGGGGGTGGGCTGGGGCAGAGGACCAGGGAGACTGAGAAGCCCCATGGGCCAGCAGGAAAAGTGGTCCTGGGTAAGCACCATCCCCCCAAAACCAAAACCCAAAAAACTAGCAGGGACTTTCAGTGGTTAGGGCTCTGCGCTTCCACTGCTGCGGGCCTAGGTTCAATCTTTGATTCTTCTAAGTCTTCTAAGAGTCGATCTTATCTTGCAAGCCAGGCAGCAAGGCCAAAAAAAAATAATAATCCCAGGCAGGCACCATGCCTTACTCTCAGTGGAACCTGCACCTCGGTCACTTCATCTGTCAAATCAGAAAGCCTGGACTCTGGAGTGGGGCTTCCCTGGTGGTCCAGTGGTTAAGACTCTGTGCTTCCCCTGAAGGGTGTTCGAGCCCTGATTGGGGAACTAAGATCCCATATGCCACATTTTGGCCAAAAACAAGGCCTGGACCAAAATAGAAGTTTTGCCTAAAACATTTTCTCAAGCTCATCTTCCCTGATGACAGAGACCAGAATTTCCTGTGTCCAAAACACCAGGGACTTAGCCCAAAGCCTAAGGGCTGAGGTTAAAAGCAAGGACTCTGGCGTTAGATAGTCTGGGCATGAATTCTGGTCTCAGTGTTTACTGACTCTGTCTCTCTGGTCAAGCAACTTATCCTCTCCCTGTCTTAATTTCCTTGTCCTCAAGATGGGTTTTACTTCCCTGTGTAGCAAGTGGTTCTCATGAATCAGTGTGAAAACTTGGAACAGTGCCTGGGACATAGGAGGTGCTCAGTAGCGGGTACCAGTGAGAGGTTCACAAGCCTAATTTTAAAAAATAATGTTTCCCCAGATCTCCCAGTGGAATTGATGCCTTGGGAAGATAAGCCATGCTTTTCTTTGAGGCTTGGCATCTCTTTGCCCCATGTACTCACAGCTAGGAAAACCTCTACGTGGCCTCTTTGAGGATCTCGGCCATATGACATTGGGCAAGCCCCATCTCTCTCTAGGACTCTCCCAGCTCCCAACATTAGGTTCCCCATCACCTATGTTAGCACTTCTCCGAGGCCCTTTCCTGCTGGGGAAGAATAAAGCTAAACTTGCCTGAACGTGACAGACACGTTGAAAACCACCAACACTTCAGGCTATAAACTGCTCATACACGGGCCAAGTGTCACCCTCATAAGAGGGTGTGAGTTTTTCAGCTGCTGACATCCTCAGAAGCGCACGGAGCTGTACCAGGTGCTTGTCCATGCTGCTTCACATGACCCTGTGGGCCTCTGGCAGTATGTGGGCTACACCTGGAGATGCTGGTCTGGTCCCCGCTGTGGGGCAAATGGCATGTGCCCCCACACGGAGCCTGTTGGGGCTCCCCTGTGCAGCAGGACTGGAGATCACCTCCTGGCTTGGGCAGGGGGCAGGGCAGATCGGGAGGGCCCCGGGAAGGAGGAGGGGATGGGGAGGAGGGTGGACAGGCCACCTACCAGCTTCCCCCGCTGCTGTGCCGAGCGGCTGTCCCTCAGAGTATACACATTCCCACAGACCGAGATCTCCCGCCAGACACCCGGGGCCGAGTCCTCAGAGAAGCCGCCTGCTGGGTGCATCACCAGGACCCCGTTGGTGGTTAAGCCGTCCATCAGCCCGTCGGGGGTCCGCCATTTGGCTGCCCGCTCCTGGGACCACACGTGGGATCAGATCACATCCCTGAGTGGCCCCCAGCAGGCCTCGAGCCGGGAATGCTGCCCCTCTACCCTGGAGCCCAGAGGTGGCCCAGAGAGGACTGGAATTGGCATTGTATGACCTTGGGCATCACCTGACCTCTCTGAGCCTCACTTTGCTCATCTGTTAAGTGGGGGTGCTAATCTCCGCATAGGTGGTGGTTATGATTACTGCAGGCTGGTCCATCACCCCTGGAGGCTGCCCCTCCCCAGCCTACCCCTCGGCTCACTCTCAGATGTAGCACTCGTCCCTGCCTGGGGGGGGCTCACTCACTCCAAGGAAGATGTTGCTGGAGGCATCGAAGCCAGCGGCATAGATGCGGGCAGTATAGGGTGGCCGGCGGTCACAGAGGATGCGGCAGGCGTATCGGGAGATGGTGCTCTGGGCAGAGGGGCCCTCAGCAGCCCCTCCCCCAGGGGACGTGTCTGTCACCACGAAGTCAATCATGTTCTCCGTGGAGCGGCCAATCTGTGAGGGAGAGGAGGGCAAGCACAGGAATGCTGTGTGCGAAGGTCAGTGCTAAGGGCTTCCCACCCCAGGGCTCCCGGAAGCTGTTCTGTGGGCAGGGTGACCCAACGACAGGGAGATGATGCCATCCCAGTTCTCCAGGGTCCATATCCAATCACTGGTGTTTGGGTTTCTCTTTCTCTGTCTCCCCCGCAGTTCTGGGAACTACCCCACTCAATTTAAAACTAGCTGATCTGCAGGACTTCCCTGGTGGTCCAATGGCTAAGTGGTCCAGTCCTCCACACTCCCCAGTGCAAGAGGCCTGGGTTTGACCCCTGGTCAGGGAATTTGATCCCTCATGCTGCAACTAAGACCCAGCACATCCAAATAAATAATTTAAAAAAAACAAACTAGTTGATTTACAGATAGAACAGTGAAAGGGTAACTGACACCCATAGTCTGGAGAGGCTCAAATAGTAGTAGAAAATAGTGGATTTGGAGTAAATATTTATTATATATCATGTTAAGCATTTCATGAGCAGATCGCAGTTAACTTTCCCAAGGATGCCATGTGCTGGGACTGTTATGAGCCCCACCTTACAGATGAGGAAACCAAGGCCCAGAGAGGTTAAGGGACTCTTGCCCAAAGTCACCGAGCTCCTAACTGACAGAGCTGGGAGCAGAGGCCAAGCAGTAGGACTCTCACACCACACTCTGAACCCCTAAACTGTATGTCTCCCACAGCCTGGGCGTCCAGGCTTGGGTATGAATCTTGATCCAGCCACTGACTGGCTATGTGAGTGGGAAGTCAACAGCCCTCCCTCGGGTATCCTGCTTCCTCGTCTGAAGAGTGGTCCGCTGCACTGAGGACCCCAAAGTGCCTGCCCCCTGGCCTTTGGTCTGCCAGCCTCCCCCTGGGACACCTGCAGAGCCGAGCATCCAGGCCTGGGGACCCAGTGGCCAGGAGGCTGGTGGAGGCACCTGAGCCTACCTGGAACATATCTGTGTCGCTGTCATGAGTGTACTCAACTATGACCGAGTGGCTCCGGGACAGTGTGTAGGAGATGCTGTGCTGGCCCCGGTTGCTCAGTGCCTGAGGACAGAAAGGAGAAGTCGTTTCACTGGGGATGTAGCCAGGAGAAGCGTGAGCTTCTGAGACAGAAGCTGGAGCCTGACACCCAGCTGCCACTCCCAGGGAAGGGGTGGTTCCACCGCTTACAGAGGGCGAACTGTCCAGCCAGCCCTTTACACGGGTTATCTTATTTGATCCCCATGTGCACGGTCATCACTCAGTCATGTCAGACTCTTCGCGACCCCATGAACCGTAGACCACCAGGCTCCTCTGTCCATGGGATTTCCCAGGCAAGAATACTAGAGTAGGTTGCCATTTCCTTCTCCAGGGGATCTTCTCCACCCAGGGATGGAACCCGCCTCTTATGTGTCTCTTGCATTGCTGGCGGAGTCTTTTCCACTGAGCCATTGGAGACCCCTATTTTATCCCTACAGCTTCTCCAAGGGGGGCTTGTTTTTTTTTCCCTTTTTCCGTTTGGGGGAACCCCCGGTTTGGGGGGGGGAGGAACTGGTCAGATGTCAAATGACTGGAAGTGGCAGAGCCCAAACTATAACCCCAACCCTCCGAAGCCAAAGGGTTTGCCTTTGTCATTGCTGTGTGATTGTCACGTCCCCTCCCAGAGCCTTGGCCTCCTCTAAAATGATGTTGACCACTTCCCTCCAAGGGATGGGATCTAGTGGTCCAGGAAATACTTTTCAAGCTTCGACACACTGCGAGGAGTCTCCCACCAGCCCCATCCTCTGGTTTCCCAGGGTCGTGAGTGAAGACACGTGGGTTTCCCTGCTCTGGCGGGGCCGTGGGCAGGTAGAACTGGGAAGACTGGCCCCCGGGTCTGCTAGGATGAGCTGCTTGCCTTGGAGACGAGCGGCGTTGAGATGTGGTGAATGACATCTGGCTTCACTCCGTTGGCGTGTGGCCGGCGACTCAGGGCCAGGCGGCTTCGGCGGCGGCCCTTGTCCCCATTTGCCAGACACCCATTGTAGCTGTGGATGAGGGGGTTAAGAAGAAAAGGTTGCAAGGAGAGAGAGACTGAAGGTGAGCCCCCGAGAGACTAGGAGGAACCACCAACTTCTGGGCAGATCCTAGAACAAGCCCTAAAAAGCCCTAGTACCACCAGCTAGAAGAACCTACTCTATCAAATTGGTGCCTTGGAGTGAGGTGGCAGGGGGGTGGTGGTCAGAAGATCTTCAAAAAGGTTGTTATTCAGTTAACCAGTGTTTTCTGGACTCCTGAACCATGCCTGGTCAGGCACTAGGTGCTGGTGGGAAAAGGTGGCATACCACAGGTCAGTTCTGTGCCCTAAGTTGTTTGAGGAACCTGGATGCCACCTGCCCTGACCCAGGCACAAACCAAGTGTGTCCCAGGCCTAGAGACAGGAGAAAGGAATTCTGACTCCAGGAGCAGGTTTCTAAGAGAGGAGACACCTTTACTGGGCCTTGAAGAACTAGAAAGGAGTCACCTTTAGCAAACTGTCATTTATTAGATCACAACTACTACCGGAAACCAGAAAGGAAGTAAAAAAAAGACCCACAAAGCCACTATCTCTACATATCCATACACATCAAATTTCTTCCTTTCCAGCCTTGTCCAGATCATAGAAGACAAAGATCGGGTGAGTCATAACCTTGATCGCTGCCATGAACTGCAGCCTCCTGTGTTCCTGGTGCTTCACATTATTAATTACCTAATGGAATCTGTGTAATGTCCTGCCAGGCAAGTATCTTTCTTATCTTTCTTCTCATTTTATGAATGACACAAATTGAGGCTCAGCAAGGTAAAATGACTTGCCTGAGGTCCCAGGCTAGGAAGTGGGAAAAGTCTAGATTTGACATCACATCTGTCTGACTCCAGGCTCTTTTGCAGAAGATTCTCGGTAAGGAGGGTTTACCCTGAGCAAAGGCCCTGTGGCGAGCAGAGTTTGGGGAGATAAGAAAGTGATGACTTGGGTGGGAGACTGCAGTTGGGGAAAATGACCTTGGTGGGAGGGCCCTGAACACCAGGGAGAGCATTTTGAACTTTATTCCATAAGCACTGGGAAGCCACGGCGGGTTTGGCAGCAGGAAGTGAAAAGGATGAATAGCTGCCAAAACAGCCAAGGACCACTTGAATCAGAATCTTCTCTGGACCCACAGAGGGAGATTCTGATTCTGTAGGTTTGGGATGAGCTTGTCAGTGGGTAATTTTCAATGTGCTCTGGGTGGCTCTGATGTCCAGCTGATGTGGGGCTTCACTGCTCTGTGCAGAACAGATGGCACTCAAGAGAGCCTGTCGCCTTAGGTCTGAGCTCTCCCTCATCAGTGGCCTCATTCCCAGCTGTGATTCCAGCTCTTCCTTTGGGACATGGAGCAGTTGCTTTCTTTTTTTTTTTTTGCAGGGGGCAGTGGGGGAAGCGGGCAGTGCCACGTGACTTGTATGATCTTAATTCTCCAACCAGGGATCAAGCCCTGGGCCCTTGGCAGTGAAACCGTGGAGTCCTAACCACTGGACCACCAGGGGATTCCTAAGTGGTTGCTTTTCTAATGCAAACACCCCTGAGAGGGGCATCACTTTTGCCCTCGTAAGCTCTTCCCACATATGGGGGGTAGGGCAGTTCAGGACACAGGCTGAGGGTTCATATGGACCTGACTTAAATCCTGGCTCTTCTGCTTATCATATGACCCGCGCGTGCTAAGTCACTTCAGTCATGTTCGACTCTGTGTGACCCTGTGGACTGTAGCCCGCCAGGTGCCTCTGTCCCTGGGATTCTCCAGGCAAGAGTACTGGAGTGGGTTGCCATGCCCTCCTCCAGGGGATCTTCCCAACCCAGGGATTGAACCCGCGTCTCTTACATCTCCTGCATTGGCAGGCAGGTTCTTTACCACTAGTGCCACCTGGGAAGCCCTATAACCTCTGTAAAATGGGGCTAATTTTTTCAGGATCTACCTCACAGGATCTACCTCACAGAGCTAAATAAGATAAAGCATTTTAAGATGCTTAGCACAGAGTTTGGCATATATTTAACAAGCCCTTGATAAATGTTATCTATGATTATTATTACTAAAAAATAAAAATAAAAGCACATGGCATGTACATGTCAACAAACAGCAGGCATTACTATTTCTAAATAGTCAGCACAGTGATAACATAGTTTATCAGACACTCTCTGCAGAGGAGAGAGAGAGGCCAAAAGTTGGTGCAGAAGGGAGGAAGGAGAGGGATCTGTGCATGGGGCAAGCATCCTGGTCAGGTGAAGGCCAGGACCGGGTGAGGTCTACTCAGCCATCAGCTCACGTTGCTTCCTCTCTCCTGGCCTCAGTTTCCTCATCTGTAGCACGAGGGTCAGCTGTCGCTGAGTGAAAGTGCACTAAACCTAGAGTAAGAAAGACCTGGGTCCAAATCCCAGCCCTGCCACTTAAGAGCTGTGTGCCCTTGGGCCAGCCACTTCCTCTCTCTGAGTCTTGGTTTCCTCACCTCCTTCCTCACAGCATCTTTGTGAAGATTGAAATGAAATAATGGCCATGAAAGGGCTTGGCACAGGCCTGCCTCCCAGAACACTTGGTGCGGGCCAGGCACTGTGCTACGTGCTTTACAGAAATCACCTCAGTCGTTCCTTCCAACAACCCTCTGAGGTATTATTATTATCATCATCTCTACTGGTAAGTGGGGAAACGGAGGCACAGGGAAGCTAAGTAACTCATGGAGGCAGGATTTGAACCAAGCACTTTTGCTGGCGAACCAGAGTTCATCCCAGACTACACACACGAGGTGCTTTATGAAAGGCAGCTGGTGCTACTTTCTTCCGTGCAGAAACTTAAGTGGGCAGGGTTGTCTCCGTAATTTATGAAAAATAGGAAGATAAAATAACAATTGTGAATTGAAGTGGGCTTGGTCAAATTTGTCTCCCAGCTGGGAAGGTGAGGAGGGACGAACAGCAAAAGGCTGTAAACGGGGAGAGCTGGGACCCTTGGTCTGGCTGTTCTGTGGGGTGCCTGGTGCCCCGCCCCCTCGGACCAGGGAGGCTCACCCCAGAACGATGAGTTCGCCATACTTGATGGGCTCCTCCCCTGGCTGTGCATCTTCACCAGGAGAAGACAGCACACAAGAGCCCTGGTTCCCCGGGTGCTGGAGATCTGAGGTTCGGGGAGACCCCACTTCAGGGTTTCCTTCCAGCACCATTCTGGGCAGAGGGGGAGAAGAGAAAAAGAGCTTTGCAGCCTCCCACCCCAACCCCCCTCAATGCCAGCTTCAGCCTGCTGCAGGCCACCTAGGCTAAGACCAGAGTGACCTTTCACCCACTCTGTTGCTATGGCAACCACTTCACCTCTGCCTCCCCTAAACTGTCAGCGTTGCTGGGATACCAGGGAAGGGAGATGGATGGGGTGGAACCAAGAGGGAGGAGCTGCCCAATCAGAGGGTCAGAATATTTGGCAGAGCCAGAGGGATGGCTCAACTTGGGGTGGCCAGAAGCTTCTTTTTGGCAGGACCTCTGTCTGGGATGTGCTCGGAAGAAAATCACCCCAGGAGTTGGGGGCCCCTACTGCTCATCTTACATTCAGTTCCTGGGTTTGGCTCTCAGCCCCAGGACTTCTGAGGAACCCTTCTGTCAGGTTTTTGGAATCTACCTATCCATCTTAATCTTTCTGCCCCTTTGCTAGTCTAGGCCTCTATCTGTCTGTCTGTTTTCTCAATGACTCTCTGTCCGCGCCGCTGTCCTTTTCGCCACCCTCGTCCCCACCTCCGCCTGTCTGGGCCCTGCTGCCTCTCCACTCACCCGCCTCAGTCTCCCCACCTCGTCCTCACCCTGCGGACAGGGCTCTGGACACCTCCCGGGCGCGCCCCTCTCCCCCCCTCAGGTGTCAGTCTGCAGTCCCCGGGCCGCTCAGGTCTCCGGAGGCCCGCGGGGGCGGCGCTCCCCCCTCCCGCTTGGGCTGCAGCAGAGCCCGTCTCCGCAGGAAGCCTGTTTGGAAAACATCCCCGCGCAGGAGGGACTGCGCCGGGGCAGGCTGGCGCCCCGCGCCCGGGGCGGGCACAACGACAGCCCAGCGACATACGCAGACACAGTCGGCGGCCCCTCCACACAAACACGCGCGCGCACGCACACAGTCCCGCACAACCCGAGCCCCGCGAGCGGTGCCCGGACGGGCGCAGAGCCCACCCTAGACCCGCGACAGCAGGCGCGATGGCGCAAACAGCCACAGGCGCCCGCCCTCGGACCGAGTACCCCCCCCACCCCGCCCCGCCACCCTGACACTCAAACACGCCCCCAGCGTCTGTTGGGGCCCGCCCGGCGAAGCCCCCGCCCCCTCCGCCTCGGCGGGCTCACCTGGCCGCGCTCTGGCTCCCGCTTGGTGCTGCTCCCTCTGCGCCTCGCCCCTGCTCGGCCCAGGGGCCGTTGCGGCGGGATGGGCCCGGCCGGCGGCAGCTCCGCGCTGCCTTGTCACGGGGACACCCGGGGCCGGGGGAGGGGTACGAGCGCAAACAGTCACGCTCCGCCCCCTGTCCCTATGCCCCGCCCCATGGAAGCCCCGCCCCTAGAGACTCCGCCTCTTGCGGCGAAGCTCTGCCCCCGTCGGCGGAGCCCCGCCCTTTCTCAAGAGACCACGCCCCTTATCGAGCCCCTCCGCCTGGGCCCTTGGAAGCCACGCCCACCACTCTGCTCTAGGAACGCTCTCTCCCAACTTCTCGTGATCTGGGGCTCTCAGGTAAGTCTTTGAGACCCCCTTCTCCAGTTCGGGTTCCCCAGACCCCGCCCTAGTTTCTGAAGGCTCCCAGGTTCTCCTTGAGACCCTGGCGCCCCCTTCCTCATCGCAGTCTAGCACCTTCCCCCGCCCTGGGCTGGAGGCCCCTTTCCGCAGCTTAGGCCAGGGACTCTGCACCTCCTGCCTGAGACCCCGCCTTCCAGATGGGGAAACTGCGGAATTAGAGGAGAGAGGCAGGGGCGGGAAGGAGAGAGAGAATGGAAATACTAGAGAAGACGGAGGTACGGGTGTGCATCAGCGGGGCGGCAGAGGAAAGCCGCTGCGTTTGATCTGTCTTCCAGCCCAGCTGGACTACTTTCTCTCTGGGCGACCGCTGGCTGGCTCTGGGCCCCACCCCCCAGGTGTCCAGGAATGCCTCCCTCCCGCCCGCCAGCTTGCGCACACCACCGGAGTTGCCACAAACGGGATGGAGACCCTCCGGGCCTGGGTTTGCAAGAGACCTCATCTGTTAGTCTGTGGCAGGTGCTATGGGCTGTGCTTTGAACAAAATAAGCCCTTTGGTTCTTGGGAGACAGACAGTATAACCACCCATTTTGCAGATGAGAAAACAGAGATTTAGGAATCTGACTTGGTTATGGTTATTTTCCCTGAAAGGGACCAGGATTGGATCTCAGCTGTGTGACTCCAGTCTGACTCATAGCTTCTATATACCTTGCTGCTATGACTCGGGACCACACGATGGCAAGAGGGCACTCAGAGGTGCAGAGCAGGAGAGACCCAGAGATGCATCAGGTACGATCCCTACAGCTCATTATCTCTTGGCCTGTTTGGAACTGTAACTGTTAGGGAAATTAAAATGGAGGAAGTCTTGCTCAGGCTGCAGAAGCAGGAGCGCAGGCTTCTGATACCATGCAGGGCGTGTGGGGCTCCTGGGCACAAGGCCTTTGTGCCTCCCATTTCTTTGATTATAGGGAGCAGCATTTAGTCAGCCTCCATGACCTTTCCTGAGTTCCAACGGCAGATTCAAGCAATTATTGGTTAGGGAAGGGAGGGGGTGTGAGACCAAGGAGAAACAAGCAATCAATAGCAGCCTTGGGGCAGGTTTCCCCATCAAGGGATATGCACAACAATATCTTTGAGCTATTTGGCAGATACTGAAACCTGCTCGGAGAAGTTATGGTATGCTCCCTACATAAGACGAGTCAAACCTGAAGGTTGATAATGTTGATGCCTACTTACCTCACCACCAACCCATCAGAAGAATGTCCATGAGCTGATCACACCCTCTTTTATTGTAAAACTTGTCACTTGGTTTGGAGGGCAGTACCCTGCTCTGTCCCCCTTTGCCTGGCAAAGCAATAAAGCTATCCTTTTCTAGTTCACCCCAAATTCTGAAATTTGATTCTGCATTGGTGTTCACGGAAGCTGAGCTTTCAGCATCATGACCTGCTTCTTACCTGCTTAGACACTGCCTAGATTCTGTGCCTGCCTGCAAACATAGGAAGTCAGGTGGGCTTTATATAAGAAAGGGAGTGGGTCTTGGAACTTTTTAAGCCCCTGGAGGTCTGGCCAACCCCCTCAGGGTCTAATGAAATCCCATGATTGGTGAAACAAACAGCATTGGTAAACTGAAAGCAGAGCTTCATTTTTGTGTGCAAACTGATGATGATGTTAGTTTGTGGCCTGGGATTATAAGCAGGAGCCTCCAAACTGCAGTTTGAAGTCTCACCTATGGAGTGCACACACTGTCCTGGATCCTTTCTCAACTGGGACTCCAGATTACTGTTAACAAGCGACTTCCCAGGGCTATTGAAGTCTGAGTGTAGGTTGTCGGCCCAGTTTGGTAATGTATACACTATTGCTTCTCTCCATTGTTTCTATTTCTTTTCTTTTAATGGCTGTATATTGAAATTAAGTAAAATAGTCCTCTATTAAATATTGAAATTGTTTATTAGTGTGTAATAAGTGGTTTCTTTTGTTTAAAAAAAAGTGTCATTCAAACCTAAAACAAAAGTAAAACTTGGGGCAAAACAATAACCAAGAGTTAGAGAAAGCCCAGAGGGTGGACCTTTAATTTGCATCTTTAGAGTGCATGTTTTACTGAAGAAATCAAGGAAAGCTGCACAGAGGAGGCATTCTTTGACCCCCACATCAAGAAAAACAAGTGAAAGTTGGCCCACACACTGTGCAGGAGCATACTTCCTCTCCCTCCCCCCAACTTGTTGTTTATGAAGCTGCCAGTCTTCAAGACTCCTCCTGGGTCTTACCACATCCACACACCCCACTAACTCCTCCATCTAAAAATAGTCCAAGATACCAACTGCTTTGCCAACTGTTCTCGGGCTCCAGCAGCCAGATGAAACGAGAAAGCAGCCGACAGTACACCCTTTGAGGACAAAAGCACCCACTAATCAAAGAGCAACTCCCTGAGAGTCCAGCAGTCCCTGAGCAGGCTGGACTGCTGGGCTCCTGGCAACAGGTCATGCAAATCCTGCACCACAGGATTGCTCCCATCCCTGATTCCCTACCTGCCTACCAGGTACACATATCTGCAATAGGACATGGGGACACTGGGACAGTCTTACTCCCCTTTGCACTCCCAGCTTCCAGTACATTGCCTGCCAAAGCAGGCCGTCTGTGAACATACACTGAATACAGCCCGGTCACAGAGCCAGATGGGTGTGGAAGTGAGGTTTGACCAGAGCCCCAGTGCTACCACCTGACACCAGATGGCAGGAAGGGCTAAGAGAGGTTCAAAGGCTTTGTCCCAAGAGGAAGCGATTTCTCTTGTGGTCAAGCACTGGGCTGGGAGTTGTATGGTGAGCACAGCCAGGCCAGGAGGGACCTCTGGGATCATGGGATGGGCCTGACTGCAGCATTGCATTTTCCAGGATGGGGAGAGGAAGGGTGAGTTGGAACACCACCAACAGGCATAGATTCTCAAGTCCCAGCCTTGGCTTCTGGCTCTTAAGTCCCAGGCTCTATGCTAAGAACTCCAGCTTCTTAATCTCTCTATGCCTCACTTCCTGTATTTATAAAGTGGAAATAAAAAATAGTACCTACCTGAAGTGGGATAAAAATGGACAATATTGTTTTGAAAATCTTTTCAGCCCCTCCCTTCTCTCCTCAATCTAGATCTTGACCCTACTGCTTTTTTAAAAGGGGACAAAGAAAAGAGCAAAATACAGCCTGTATTTTTTCTTAAAAAAAAAAAAAAAGTTTTGTTTGGCTCCACCAGGTCTTAGTTTTAGCAGGCAACTAAAATGGCATAAAGGATAGTTCCCTAACCAGGGATTGAACCTAAGACCCCTGCATTGAGAGCACAGAGTCTTAGTCACCAAACCACCAGGGAAGTCTTCTGTATTTCTTCAACTCTTGGGTTCAAGTGCCCAGAGACAGGCATAAACAGTTTTGAAGAATACTTGTGCATCTAGTGGAGAAAGCATGTTGAAAACAAATAAACAAGCCAACCAACAACAAACTCTTTCTGGCCTAAAAGATTTGGAGAGAAGATAAGGAAGAGCTNACACAGTACAGATATATGCTACAACCTTGAAAATAATATGCTAAGTGAAGGAAGCCAGTCACAAATGACCACATCTTGTATGATTTCATTTATAATAAATGTCAGAATAGAAGAATATATAGAGGCAGAAAGTGGATTTGTGGTTACTTAGCTAGGGAGGGATGGCAGAATAGTGATAGCTAAAGTGCACGAGTTTTTCTTTGAGGTAATGAAAATGTTCCAGAATTGCTGTGGTGATGGTTACATGTATCTGTGAATATACCAAAATCACTAACTGCACATTTTAATGGGTGAATTGTATGATATGTGAATTATCATATCTCAATATATTTCATTTATAATAAATGTCAGAATAGAAGAATATATAGAGGCAGAAAGTGGATTTGTGGTTACTTAGCTAGGGAGGGATGGCAGAATAGTGATAGCTAAAGTGCACGAGTTTTTCTTTGAGGTAATGAAAATGTTCCAGAATTGCTGTGGTGATGGTTACATGTATCTGTGAATATACCAAAATCACTAACTGCACATTTTAATGGGTGAATTGTATGATATGTGAATTATCATATCTCAATATATGCTTTGTGCTCAGTCATGTCTGACTTCTTGTAACCCCTGGACTGTAGCCCACCAGACTCCTCCATTCATGGGATTTTTCAGGCAAGAATACTGGAGCGGGTTGCCATTTCCTCCTCCAGGGGATCTTCCTGACCCAGGAATTGAACCTGCATCTCAGGTATTGGCAGGCAGATTTTTTGCCACTGAGCCACTGGGTATGCCCCATATCTCAATATGGCTTTTCCTAAAAAAGAACCAGCTAGAACAAAACAAACAAATATGACATTGAGCAAAAGAAACTAAGTATCAGAATTCATACTCTATAATTGTATTGATGCAAATCTTAAAAGTTGTCCAAACCAAGCCATATCAGTTCAGGATGCTTATTTTGGTGGCAAAACTAAAGAAAGGTGAGGAAGTTACGGGCATAAAAATTAGGTAGAGAGGTTTTAACCTGGAAGGAGGCGCACAGAGGGTGCTCTGGGGTGCTGTCCATGGTGCTGTTTGGTTTCTTGACGGAGTGGCAGTCACCCAAGTGCTTGCTTTATAATGCTTATTAAGCTGTACATTTATATTGTATGAACTTTTGGTGTGTTTATCATATTTTACAATAAAAGTATTTAAAATAAGATGAGTTGGTTTGATCAAACCTCCACATTCTGCAATGAGAATGGGTAAGGAGTAGTTCTAGCTGATAGGTCAGGATGTGGAGGAAACTGGTGAGACCGTGGTAGCCACAGCAGAATCAGTGAAGAGGAACCCAGGGAGCTGAGAAAGCCAGTGAGAGTGAGTGCACAGAGAGAAGCAAAAACCAGGGGAGGGGCTGAGAAGGGCCCCTAGAACTTCAAGTCTTGATAGCTTGACTTATGTATTCATTTACCCACTCATCAACAGTGTTATTAAGTACTTGCTTTCGGTCACACCAATGAAGCTACTTCTCTCTAATCCCCAGTTTTGCATCACCAACAATCATTTTTGTCTCCATGACATCATTCCCTGGCCATAGCTAAAGGGAATAAGGATGCCAACCTGACCTAGGCTGGGCCAATCACATCCTGTCTGTTGGGAATTTGGAACAGAGATTCAGAGATAGCCTTTCTCTGCTGTAGAGTTGGAGAATCACGGAAAACTGGCTTTGCTATGCCAAAACTTCACCCTCAGTGGGCAGTTACCCAAGTCTCAAGAGACACTGCGGGATAATTGGTAACTGCTTTGCTACTGGATATAAGAACTGCCTCTTCCATCCTAGGTTGTGAAAAATTTACTTACACATGTGTGTGTGCTCAGTCACTCAGTCTTGTCCAACTCTGCGACCCCATGGGTGCAGACACATGGTTTAGATTCTTCTGGTCAGAAGCACCTGCTTCCAACTGAATCAGATGCAATTTCCTAAAGAAGCGGATGTGGTGGAGGCAGTGGCTAGGTCCAATCTCAGAAGCTGCAGTGGAAGTAGATCCAACTGCAGAGTCTGCAGGCCTCTGTCTGTGGTGCCGGTGGTGAAGATGCTGCATGCGATGGGGGCAGTTCTGTCTTCTCGGGATAGTTCTGTGGCATGATTTTGGGTGTGTTCCCACTTGCCTGGCTACAGCACCTCATTCCCTGCACAGCCTGGAGACTCTGTGAGTTACTCAGTATCCGTCATAAAGTTTCTTTCTGCTTAGATTATCCAGAATTGGCTTCTGTGCTTGAAATTAAAAACCCTGGGTGTGTGTGGGGGGGCGGGGTGTGGGAGGGAGGCTTAAGAGGAAGGGGGTATATGTATGTATATAGCTGATTCACATTGTTGTATAGCAGAAACTAACATAATATTGTAAAGCAATTATCCTCTAATTTTAAAAAGTAAATAAATTTTTAAAAAATATATAAATAAGAAAAAGAGAACTCTGACCCACATCTCTAGCAACCTGAATGCAGTCCTTCCTGAAGAGTGGGAACAGAATAATCCTCCCCCTCATTAGCCTATGAAATTACCCAGCCCATAAAATCTAAAGTGTGTTAGTCGCTCAGTTGCATCCAACTCTTTGCGACCCCATGGTCTGTCCATGGAATTCTCTAGGCAAGAATACTGGAGTGGGATGCCATTCCCTTCTCCAAGGGATCTCCCTGACCCAGGGATCGAACCAAGGTCTAACCACTCCCATATTTCAGGGTCTCTGGCCTTCTGAGATGGCCCCACACTCTGTATTTCTCCCAGGATTGCTCTCACTTTCTGAGATGGGCCATATTCTGTGTATGGAATGTATTTGTCTCTAAATAAACCTACTGTCACTTTGCTATGACTGGTTCTTGAGTTCTTTCCCATGCAAAACCAAGAGCCCACATTTGGTGGCCCATC